CAACTACTGTGGGTACAGACTATCGACCCACCATCGTCGAGTGCCGGGTGCGGGCGCACCTGCTAAAAGTTTCAACCGCCAAGCACCGGGTGACCGGTTTTCAGCGTGGGACTATTACACCCCAATTCCCTTTGTGCGGCTTATTACTAGTTCATGGTTGGGATAATATTAAAGATTTAAATCTATATTCCTTATTGGGTTTAAGTACTCTTAAAATTGTAAAATGGTACTCAACTATGACTTATGGGCATTATCATCATAGCCCCTCCTGGTTTGAGGTTTAGCGACTCAAACCGATGCCGAACTCCGAATCTCGCACGGCCCCAACTCCCGGCAGATGGCGGCTTTTTATAGGGACCCTTAACCCCAAACCCCAAAGTGTTTAGGGCTTTCAAAACTTTGGAGCATCCCAGCCTTCCTCCTCAAGCTCAGGTATCGGCTGAGGCCGCTGGTACTTCTCTGGAAGAACGGCCTAGGATCACCGAGATACTCCCAGAACCGCAAACAAACACAATCAAACAAAAAAAAACCTAAACCTTTTTGCCGGAAAAAAACCCTAAACCCTAAACCCTAAACCCTAAACCCTAAACCCTAAACCCTAAACCCCTAAACCCTATTCCTATAAGGTGACGGTAGTCTGCCTCGACACAGCCAGCCGTGACTTTTGAGATCCGGGTCCAGGGTTTAGGGCAAGAGGTGTCGAAGCAGCTTACCAGCATGGGTGGAGGAGGGGTGAGGCTTTTATCCCCCTAAAGGGGCCCCCTTCATAGGGGTTTAGGGTTGATTCTGATAAGAATTCTACGACTTAGCAGCCAAAAAGGGCTAAGTTTACAAGGTGCTGCGTCCCTGCTTAGAGTTTCTTCAAGTTTCGGGGTTAGGGTTCGGGGTTTCAGGGTATTTGGGGATCTAGAGGTTGAGGATTTGGAGGTTTGGGGATCTAGGGGTTCAATAGCAGTGTGGGGAGTTAGGGTTCGTTCGGGTATCCAAGAAGCACATTTCAGCACAGATGTCGTCTGCGAGTAGTTGAAGCCCTCGCCGACGGTTGTAACAACGTAGTCGTCCTCGTGCCCTCGGATTAGTCCGTTTCCTATGGGTCTGAATATTCCGGGCTTGATCCGTAACACTACAAACCTTAAACCTTAAACCACTATGCCCAAAACCCTGAACCCCTACACCCTGGTTACGACAGGCTTGTGCAAGACTTCTCCCCCGGACTGACGAACCCTAACGCTTGGGATAGATACAAGGGCCCTTAGTATGGGCTCTCAATTCGGAAGCCTTAGAAACGCCGTCCCCAAGGGCTCAGACTTCAAAAGCCTTTAACAATGGGAAGGGACCGCATCAAGGAACCCTACAGACCATAAACATCGAGCTTTTTACATGTAGCTACTAAGAGCCCTTTTTACAGTGAGTATAGTGGCTCCTTATCTTTGTTCCTTGTTTAAGGACTGTTAGCACAAAGGGGGAACATCCCGATAGCTACCCGTAGACTAACCTAAACTCTCAACCCTATAAACGCTCCCAGGGACCGTCAAGTCATTTGGGTTGAGGTTAAGGGTTTAGAGTTTCGAGTTTAGGGTTTAGGGCGTAGGGTTTAGGGTTTAGGGCTTAGGGTTTGGGGTTCAGGGTTTAGGGTCGGGTAGGAGGAGCCCGAGAGGGCTTTGGGTTTAAGGATTTAGGGAGGGTTGGGATTTCCTACTAAGGACTGTTAGTATGAGGGGGAACATCCTAAGGTTCTAAACCCTAAACCCTAAACCCTAAACCCTAAACCCTAAACCCTAAACCCTAAACCCTAAACCCTAAACCCTAAACCCTAAACCCTAAACCCCAGCGTTCAGGCTTTGGGATTCGGGGCTCCCGAGCCTTGGTGTAGGGCTTCAGGAGTACAGTGTTGTTAAAGGTTTAGGGCTTGAGACTTGAGATGTTCCCCTTATGCTAGCAGTCCTTAATAGGGATTATCCGAGGGGATACTAGAATCCCTATTAAGGACTGCGAGTATAAGGGTGAACATCCTAAGGTTCTAAACCCTAAACCCTAAACCCTAAACCCTAAACCCTAAACCCTAAAACCTTCTAGTCTCCCAAGAAGGACCTCGATCTGATTGCCGACGAGGCCGCCGCCCTTGACGTTGCTGGGGCCTTGGCCAGTTGCCGGGGGAGTCCCTACCCTAAACCCTAAACCCTAAACCCTAAACCCTAAACCCTAAACCCTAAACCCTAAACCCTAAACCCTACACCCTAACCAGACCCAAGAAGAACCTGGGAACAGCAAGGGTGCCCTTTTTGGGTGAAGGGGCCTTGTAAGGGAACCCAAACCCTAAACACAGTGAATAAGGGCCTGCTAGCTAACCCCTAAGCCCTGTAAATCTTGTTCTCTTCTTGAGTAGACAGGGCACCTAGACCCCCAACCCGTTTGATTTTGTTGTTTTTTTGTTTTTGTTTTTGGGCAGGGGGGGGGGGGGTGGGGGGGAGGAGGTTGTACAAAATCTCAAGAACATTCGGCAGCTGCAATTTGGGATCCGGGCAGAGGGATTGGATAGCCCTCGCCTCACATCCTGAAACGCCGCCAGATCGCTGAAAAGCCTTTGGTCTAGTCCTCTGGTCTTTGTTCCCAAACGCGAGCCCTGAACCCTTGAACCCAAATCCTCCCCTGGCCTGAAACTTTGAAGCCTTCAGGCCTTCGCCGACCGGCCGAATGATTGCGCATGTGAGGTTCAGGGTGCAGGGTACGTACCACAAACGGCCGGAACATAGTCCCACAACCAAGGAAAGAAAGGCTAGTTTTTTCTGATGTGCTTCTTGCTAGACAATGAAGCCCTACGTGTAAAGCTTACAGTTCATCTATTGGCTACCCTTGGACTATAGGCCCTGTACTGCACCCTAAACCGTAAACCCTTGTAACTCCAGATCCTATCTCCGTCCCCAAAGGCCTGCTTCAAGGCAAACTCCAAGAGGGTTAACGACTCATAGACCGCCAAACCTCTTGGGGTTTAGGGTTATACCCCAAGGTGTCCTTCTACCCTCATACCCTTCTGCCTAATACCCTCCTACCTTGATGCCCTTTCTTGGCTTCCTGGCCTGTAATGCAAGAATCTCCTGAAAACCCAAAAGCCTTCTATACCCTGATACTGGCAAATACCCTGATCCACTACTCAACCCTAAACCACCCCCTTGCTGGGCAAACGGGCGCTCGTGCCAGCAAACAACGCAATGCTCGGCGGTCACCTCCTCAATGTGCGCGCCTGAGGCTGAGGGCCCTGGAGTCCCCGAACTTCCTAAACCCTAAAGCGCAACTAAGGTTATCAGCTCTTACAAAAGCAGCTCAAAACGGTCTCTCGTCTATCGTCTGTCCTTATCTACACCATGTCTCCCGAAGTTATACACGATTTCTTACTCGAGCGAGACGAGACCATTGGGAAAATTTTTGCAGGGGCCCCACGACCGCCCCTTCCCTGACAAGTCCCGGAACTCAATTATGAACCCCACCTCACTAACTAAAAAACCAAGACAAAATCGCGGGAAAGAAACGAGTGGGGCAGCGGGCTCCTGCTACAGGAGGCCTCTACATCCCAAAGAGATTGAATCAATCAAGGGGGGCGGGAGGGGGGTGAGGTTATATTCATGGGAGGTCAACATTGACCTCATCGTCTCAAGCCTGGGTTTTGAAGGGTTTCGAGTCTTCGGGCTTCACTCTCGGGCTTGCACTCCTCTGGCAAATCCCAGCAGGTCTCGGTTGGTCAGGCTCGTCTCTCATTCAGGGCCGCAAAAAGCTCTGGGTGTTAGTCCCTTAGCCTGGAAGTGGACGTTTTGAGAAACAAGAGGGCGCTCCTTCATAGGGCTCGCAGTAGGAAACGTGTTGTTAAGAGTTGGGGGCAGGACCATTGCAGTGCAATGCACAACCTTCTGGAGAGCATGCCATGGCATGCCCTGCATGTCCTTTTCCAAGAGACCCTCCCTTCCGCCAAAACGGCTGGCCCTTTGAACTCTCTGACGTTCGTAAGGACCCTAAACCCTAAACCGAAAATCCTAAACCCTAAACCCTAAACCCTAAACCCTAAACCGAAAATCCTAAACCCTAAACTGCCCTAAACCCTATACCCTGAACCCTAGCAGCGGGCTGTTAACCGAAAAGTGAGAACGGTGGCCACTTGATGTTGAAACGGGTTTACAAAGGCACCCTAGCCCGGAACAAAGGGAAGAAACACTACCACTGGGCATCCTGCTGCTCTAGAACCCAAAACCCTCTAAACCCTAAACCCTAAACCCTAAACCCTAAACCCTAAACCCTAAACCCTCAACCTCCTCTAAAGTCCTGAAGCAACAGCCGAGGCGCGGAACCAGCGGCCGTTTCGCGGGTACTCGGCCCAGACATCTGCGCCGGCTTCGAACTTGTCCTTTTTGGGTTTAGGGTTTAGGGTTCAGGTCCTCCAAAGGCGAAGGGCTCAGGGCTAAGGGTTGCCCTAAACCCCCACTTGAAGGTGTTTAGGGTTTAGGGTTTAGGGTTGACGGCTAAAAGGTTTCGGGCTTATAAGGTTTATAGTGTTTAGGGTTACTTGAAGGTTCATGGGTAGGTATAAGTAGGGTTACAAGCACTCGGATGTAACCAGTCATAAGTATAGTTACCGTTATAACTACCCATGAACCTGCAAGTAGGGCTTAGGGATTCGCCACGCGCAACGCCGATGTCGAAGCAAGAGTTTGTGGTTTAGGAAGGGGTTTAGGGGGCTACTTTCTGGGGGCTCACTGGTTTTAGTTCGATACATGGTCTAGGTGCTTACGAATGGAGTTCGTTGATTAGGCTTCAAATTAAAGGGTCGCGTCACGTGTGTTCTTGCTGCGCGCTTACCTTTCAATGCCTCACAACGGCTGAAGGTTGCCAAAGAGGGGCTCTGTTAAAGTTGCGCGAAAGGCTGCTGCCAAACCGACTACGACAAAGCATGGTGATACTACCATGATAGCAGAACCCTTGTGCCCTGAAACATAGCTGATAGCATTTTCCAACTACGCCACCGAGCGCCAGCGGCATCGCTCATGGACTGGCGTCGTGTACTCCTCGAGACCTTCGGGAATTGCCCAGTGAACTGTGACATTTGTGGCAGGCTCTGCAGCAGCCTGCAGTTTGGCGACGGTCAGTCGGTCTGCTTCCAAGATCTGACGCGGCAGCAACACCAGCTCAGCATGGGATGGAGCCTGCTGGACGAGCTTGAGCTGAGGCTCCGCATCTTCTGGGCACGGCACCAGCAGCAAAGTCCGCAGCTGCATGCCCAGCTCCCGGACGTACTTCAAAGCTGCAGTGGATGAGGCAACGATCGCTTGCACTTGTCTTACAGTTTGCCGCTCGATGGCATTCTCGGTCAAAGCCGGCAACAAGCGTTTAGCGGCCGCTTTTCCACAATGCCAGCGCCAGAAAAGCTCCACCTTCTTCGCGAGCGAGGTTCCATACGGCGTCCTCGGGCAGATGAACCAAACACTTGGTCCTCGGGTCTGCTTGGGAAGTTTCTCCAGCAACACATCACGAAGGCAGACGCCCGTCGCACCTGGGCTCGATTCTTCGACTTCATGCACGCTTGCTGCATCGCTGATCTCAGCCGGTGCAGGTCCATTTTGGTGTAAGTTAACCAAACCCAAGCATGGAGCATCTTCCTCCAAGCCTAGCTCTTTCTTGACGACATCCTCGTCTTCATCCTCACTCTCCTGTCCGATCTGTCGCCCAGTAAGCTCTTGCGTGGAAGACGGACGTGGGCATGGCAACAGCAAGGGCTTCAATGGGATACGGTAGATTTGACCGGGCCGGCCCCCCACCAGCACCTCACGTCCACCGCTTGTTGTTGTGCACATCCTCCAAAACAGGTTGTTCACCTGGGAGTTTGTGAACATAGGGGTACCTCATTCTGCGGTCCTTATTTTAAGGGAATCCTACTATTTGGGGGTCTATTTAGGGGTCCCCTATTTTCGTAAACCCCCACCTTGCTCTCGTATCGCGGCATCTCGCCATTTGACAGCGGTTGATGAACCTTCCAGGGACGAATCTGGACATCGAGCGCAGGATTCTCTTCTTGATGTTTCCAAAGGCAGTATGTCCGCCGATTGTTGATGGAATAGTACTCTCCTTTCCACTCGAATAGCTCCAGGCGGAGGAACTCTGCAGTGTGACTGACCACCAGTCCTTCGTTCAGAGCACTCACCAACTCCTGAAAAGTTCGAGTCTCTGGATATCCGAAATGGTTGGAAATCCTGTTGTGTGTAAACCGGAGGGACCGTACTGAAATCATCAGCCATGTCGGCTTCTCCACGTCTACCCTCTGAGAGAGTCTTGCCCTCTTCGTGTCTTTGCGAAGAGCAGGCAGGCACTCGCTGACATCGAGGGCATTGCGCGCCATTGAGGCTGTTCAAGACCTTGGCGCCGGGTAAAAACAAATTGCCAAACGGTGCCTTCCCAGCTTAGGCCGAATGAAGGTGTGAGTTTCGCACAACAAGGTCCCAAGGACGGGCGTTGGGGCCTTTCGTTTCTTATGTCTCTCCAAGCGGCAGAACCACACACCACTTTACCAAAGCCGTCATGTGGAGCAGATCTGGGCCATGAAAGAAGTCACAAGGCCCTCCCTGGCTGCCATACAACGCTGGAGTCGCCATGGGACCGTATGAGTACAGATTCCTGCTGCTAAGGGGGTTTAGGGGTTAGGGCTCTTGCTGTCAGCTTTGTTGCCATTCGGACCTACCCCAAGTGCCTTAATTGCTCTAAAGACCCATGCTTTAGGGCAGTTAGGTCTCCACCACGCGGTGATCGCAAGTACATCTCCACATGGGTTCTGCAACCACGGCCGTAGATTGGGATGTTCCCCATGGTACTATTAACAGTCCTTACTAGGTACTAGGGATTCTAGTACCCCGTATGATTAATCCCCATAAAGGACTTTTATCAGGGTGAACATCCCAACCCGTCGAAGTAAACCCGAAGCCTGGCCTCAAGAACCCACATTCCTTCGTGTCTCTGGCACCCTGAACCCTAAACCCTGCTTGGCTGCGGCAGCAGTAGATTTCATGTTCGGTAGGCCCAGCCACATGATGATGCCGGAAGCCTCCGAAGGACTCTCATGTCAACCCCTCAATCCCCGACGCGCTTGCGGCAAGCCATGGCCCTCTAAAAAGCCTAAAGCCCAAAGCCCAAAGCCCAAAGCCCAAAGCCTAAAGCCTAAACCCAAACCAACAACTGTCCCTGGAGCCCGAGTATCCATATCAACCGCCTCGAATCACAGGAGAAACGTATGCAGGCAACTATTCAGCGTACGTTGAAGGTCTCAAGGTAAGCCCCCAAACTCAAACCATGGAAGCCCCCAAACACCAAAGGGGTAAACCCTAACCCACCTCTTGCCCCTCTCACTGAAGGCGAGTAGCGGCAAAGGGCTCGCCAACTGGCTGCACGATGGCCTTCCTTCGCAGGCCGTGGGGACCCTCTTGCTTCTTCAGAGCTTTCAGGGTGGAGTGGTTTAGGTTCCTAAACCCTAAGCCCTGAACCTAAAAGGGTTGCTTTGGGAACCTTCAGGGCTTTCTGCCGCCCACCTAGCCGGACAAGTAGCTGCGTAGTTCTTCGTCGGTTGGTATGCAAGCACTTCGCGACAGGTTTAAAGCTCGGGGGGGGGGGGGGGGGGGGGGGGGGGGGTAGGGTAGTTAGGTGATGCGAGCATTGAGCGACAACATGTGGAGTTTCAGAAGGGGCACCTACAGCTGCAGACTCTCAACTGCTCTGCAGGAGACTGCCAGGGAAATTCCATGCATCTCCGCCCAAAAGAAGACGCTCAACCTGTAAGATGCCGAACCTGCCCAGATGCCCTAAACCCTAAACCCTTAACCCGTTTTTTAACTCCAAACCCTAAACCCTAAACCCTAAACCCTAAATCTAAGATGATTTCTGCCACCTGCCTGGCTGACACTGACACCCTCCATGCATTGCAGGGCGCGTTCTAGGGTTGAGGGCCTTGGGGTTTAGGGTCCATGTGCCAGCTAAGACATGCCCCAAAGACCAAAAAGAACTCATCAGGGGCTTTTGAGACTTAAGTCCCGGAGATCGGAACTAGGGTTTAGGGTTTAGGGTTTAGGGTTTAGGGTTTAGGGTTTAGGGTTTAGGGTTTAGGGTTCATGGTTGGGATAGGAATAAACATGTAAAAGAATAATTCCTCATTGAGTTCAATTACCCGTAAAGATGTAAAATGCTGCCCCACTATGACAAAGAGAATCAGGAGGGTTTCTTTGCCTTCAAGGTTAGAGAAGCGTATCGGGGAACGCAGGAATCAGAAGGCTGGTCCTGCCAAGCTGGGTTCAGGGTTTATAGGAGTCCTTGCAAAAAAAGTGGGGACCTGCCTCATGGTGATTTTTGGAAGCTAAATCCTTTAACTTCGGACCCAGAGTAGGAAAGCATCCCCACCCCGGGGCCAGAAAACACCAGGCACGCGCACTACATTGGGATGTTCCCCCCTAACAGTCATTAATAAGCTTTAGAGTAGGGGGTACCATAATGCCTATTAAGAACTGTTCGAAGAAGGGGGAACATCCCAAGCCCTACACCCTAAACCTTTAAATACAACTTGACGACCATCTCCTATCCTGAGCCCTCAGCCCAACAACCACCGAATCACAAAATCCCAAACCCTTGTAACCCTAAACCGGTTTGGGGTTTTGGGGGTTAGGGTTTAGGGTTCAGGGTTTAGGGTTTGAATTTCCAAACCCTTAAGCCCGTAAAGACCTCAGCTACGGCCAAGCCACCACCACTCCATGAGCTCGTTGATCTGGTCTCGGACCGACTGGCGAGAGCGTGGGGTTTAGGGTTTAGGGTTTAGGGTTTAGGGTTTAGGGTTTCGGGTTTAGGCTTACAGAGTGGGTTGCTCTCAAGAAACCAAGCAGCTGATGCGCTTCGTGGGCAAACTACGAAGCGCAAGGCCTTTGGGTGTTAAAGGTGTCGTTAGTCCTGCGGTTTAAGCTTAAGGTTTCAAGGGGGTGCCATCATTCCTGCCCTCGCACCACCCGAAATTCTAAACCCTAAACCCTAAACCCTTTTTGCAGCAGGCTTGCAGCAGCCTTTGGCTGGACCCCTAAACTGAACCTTAAACCCAACACCCCAAATGCTCTCGGAACCCTTCCTTTTTGCAACCAGGCCTGCTCAAACTACCGGACCCCACAACCCACAATGAGCCCTACCCCTCGACCCTAACCCTTAGCCCAGCGAGATGCCGGGCCTTGATATTGTTGCCGCTCATCCGGACAGGAACCTCGGTCGAATCGATCCTGGGCCCGGGGTTATGTCGAGGGCTAGAAGAAGGTTCAAGAGGTTCAGGTCTTAGGGTCAGGTTGAGGGTTCAGTGCTTCACCCAGTGCTCTGGCTAAGAGAGGTTCAAGGGCTTCGGGTCTTAGTGTTTAGGGTGCCTGGCTTTCTGCCGTGCCTTCCTCAGGCGATACAGGACCCCCAAACCCAACCCAGCATAAACTGGTACCATGAACCCGAGAAAACCAACTCTCAAATCCTAAACCCTGGACCCATACGCCAGGAAGGGACCCACGGTCCGTTCGTTGGAGTACTTTGTGTGATGTAAGGGTCCCAAAATGGACCGTGATTTAGAGAACTACTTGCATGGGACTTGGGGGGTGTTGTGGTGTTGGTTGTTTTCGGTCCATCTTCTGGCCAGCCAAGGGGCGCGGCAGCAGACATCATGAGCAGGACCTGAGTCAACCACCCCAAAAGCGCCTTGCGACCCCGTAGGGCCCTTAAAAACCAATAACGCTGCAAGCCCTCTAAGCCTACAGCCTTGAACCCGAGAGCCGACAAGCCATACATCCCGCTTACAAGCCCGGCATGAAGCCCCATACAGTCAAAGCCTTCTTTTCGACACCACATTGCCCAGCACTGGCTCTTAAACCCCAAAAAATCAGTTTGACCCCAAGCCCTAAGCCAAGCCACGCGATGCCTTTGCTCCCTGCTACCGTAAGAAAAGATGAACAGGGATAGCTGGGAACCTGGCCCACTGAAGATCTTGGCTGACGGCAGCGAGTTCTGACAAGGGTGGGTTTAGGGTGGTGATAGGTGTTACGTGTGGGGGGGGGGGGGGGGGGATAGTCTGAGTCCATCCACTTTGATGAATGCAGGGGGGCGATTGGGATTGAGGATCTTCCTGGGCTATCTGCTGCTAGCTAAGCGCCTGCGACCAAACGAGACAGTCAAGCCAACAGCTGAAGGCATTGACATATAAAAATGGATGAATAAATACAATATATAGTCTTAAAAATATTACACTATAATGGGAAGAGTAATAATGGTAGTAATATTGACAAAAATTAAACATAATCATAATATGTACTCTGTAATTATATAACACCAGAGCATTTCTTAACGAGAAATGTACACTTTAGTCTACTTTATACATCTAAAAAGAAAGGCTGTTGCGTTGGGAACGCACTTTAAGGCTGCAGCACTGCGTGCAGCTCAGTAAGGCCTCCGAAGGGAGCGCCACACCCATGCTGCTGTCTAAACCCTACTTGGAGGTTCATGGTACTACTATCCCAATTACATCCGTACTTACAGCTGCTACTTATAAGCCCCTTAAGTGCCCTAGTGTGGCTATGCTTGGAGTATAAGTACAGTTAGATCTGATTAAGTACCATGAACCTCCAAGTAACCCTGTTAGACCCGACCCTATAGCTGTCTACAGCCTTCCCTGCACAACTATGGCACACTGCCCGGTCCTGCCGAGTTGGGAACTGCAGCCGCAGATCGTTCTGCGATGTCCTTGCGAAGCTGCGGAGAGCTGTGCTGGTCTAGCCGCCTACTGTACCATGCAGAAAGCCTCAAAAGAAACTCGCATCCACACAGACCTAACCTGCCTTTAACAAAAGCTCGTATCCACACACACACACACACATATACTGCCTTAAAGAAACAAAAAGCTCTTACACACACACACACACACTCTTAAACTGCCTTAAAGAAACAAAAAGCTCGTATCCACACACACTTAATACTGCCTCAAGTCTTCTGATCTTGCGCTGCTGAAGCCTATTGAGCAGGAAAGTTCCTCAACCCTGTGTGCTTGAACCAGCCAAACCCTTCAAAGTACGGCAATGGACAAGCGATGGGTGGGTTCCCTGTAGCGTTTGCTTGGGGCTCCGGCGTGCTTCGGCACCGTCATCCGGAACTACGACGACATGGCATGCCATGGACAGCACCGTTCCGGGTTGGGTGGTTTCGATGTTGGGTAGCTTTTAAAGATCCAAAGACTGACAAAGGATAATTCCTGAATGTGTCCTCCGATCGACGCACCAAACCCTAAACCCTAAACCCTAAACCCTATAGACCCTTTCCATCACTTCAGGACAAAAGGCAGACAACAGCTGC